ATAAAGTGCATGTCAACTGCTGCTGAGAAAATTAAGCGTTTTTTACAGCACGTACCTACAGACATATGGACACCCGTGGAGATCTGCGGTTTGCACACCCAATATTTATTCATACTCGTACGTACTTGGGTCTTACTGTTCGCATTTATTCGATTTCGCTCGCTGCATTTGTCAGCAGTCGTTTGCAAACATTTACTTTATGCTCAGGAATACACCATATGTATATAATTCTTCATTTTCCTTCCATTTTATATCGGTCTTTCTTCCTGTATTGCCACTAAATCCTTTATAATGCAGCTCTGCATTGAGTGTCGTGCCGTTGATAAGAAGCTGCTACATTCACTTGTCTCGTTGTGTAACCAGCACTTTATGCATATACTGTAAAATACTTAAAATGATGAAGAATAATAAGGTGCACAAAAGTTCCGTGCGAAATGTGTTTTTAGCGCGGAGTCAGGCATCTTGCCTCAGGGTAGATATCGAATTCGACGGATCTCATATTGGGATATACAGATACTAGATATTTTTTACCTCAGAATGATATAAAAGTTAAATATGGCTCGTTGAAAGCACGTTTCGTTGCTGCCGGTTCTTCTTTAAAGTTCTTTTCAAAGCCGATGAAGAAGAAAATTCAAGTGCAAACAGATCTGATTTCTTCTGCACATAGTAAGGAGTTTAACCGATCGGCCATTTATTATCGTTAGAGTCTATTTTTTCTTAATGATAATTATAAAAAACCACGCCTCGTCGAACTGGTCGAGTTGAATAAATTTAACAAACTCAGCCAAAGGTTACTCTCTGGTTTAACTCTATATGTACATCTCTCTTACAAATTCTTGGAAAATTAAAATTTTTTTCCATTATTTGATTGCTAATACAAAGACATACATATGTGTTTATACAGGGTGGCACGCTGGAAGACTGTAGAAAAATTTGATTAACATAAAGAACTAGTTCCAATCAACAAAGTTGCTTAAGCTGATGTTATATTAGGTTTATTAGTTTGTTAGGCGGATATTGGGCTCGTTTTGGGACTGATTTTTGCTTATATAAATTTCAGATGTAGTTAAATTAGTGAAGTTAGAAAACTAGCGGGAATACAATGCGCTGCTTCCACACCATTCACTCTCTTCACTACAGCCTCTAAAGAGAGGCAATATCATTGACCTAGGGTTCTGTTACACTGATATGTACAGTAAGATAGTTAGAGACCTACATTAGGATATAAAATAAAAACGAATTTAGCCTTTACGTTGGACAAGTTTTCCCGTTCTATCCAGGCAAATGGAGTTTTGTTGATGTAGTTGCAAAATATTATATTAAGAAGTGTATTCACTCAACACAACTCATTCGATAAGAGCTGTCGCCATTCCTCCTGTCTGCACGCACATATGTTTAGATCTAAAGAAGTAGTTTTGCATATGAACCACCCTTTTCACTCTTTCACTCATTGCATGACAACACTTCAACTCCCACCATTCCTCTTCTGGCAGCTCCGACATTACGGAAACGGAAATACGTAAAGTTTCAGAAATACTAGCACCCAAAAGTAAACGAACCACCAACCACACATCACTATGGTTAAATACTTATGTGCAACGACAATGTGATTGCTGTTTCATCGTCTGTAGGTGTTTAAAGACAAACGTAAAGTGAATTGTCTGCTGTTTTTTTCGATTTTCTTTTCACTTGGCAACTCATGCTTCGCTTTGGCAGGCATCAGTGCACTTAAGACCATTCTTTAGCATGTATCTGTGAGTATGTGCAGGTGAATGTGTCTTTATTGCAACTATCTTGGAGCAATTCATTCAATCAAAAGCACCCACACACACGCATGCATTTGTTAAGTTTTTCATTTCATTTCTGCCTGGAATATCAATCAGTGATTGCTTTAATTGTTTCATTGTTGTAGACGTAGCTGGCAAGTTGGCGTTTTTGAACAACTTAATCCCACTGCATTGATTGCGAATTCGGAGAAGTTTTTAATGCGACTTGTTAAGACACACACACACACACTCAAACTTTGGCTTTTTTAAATATTTATATACACCTTTTCACCATTTGCCAGTCACGTGTGTAATAGCAGTTGAGCTGTCGAATATGCAGCTCAGTTATGTGGTGCATTCAGTGCAGTGTCAATGCGTGATGAGTTTAAAAAATTTTATTTGAAATTGTTAAATTAAATTTGTTGTAGAGAGAATTTAATTTTAATGCGTTTTATATTTGGATTGTATAGGGTGCCATTTAGAAGTGTATAATTTCCTAGAGGGGTGTAAGTCAACCCAACTGTCAAAGTAAACACATGTGTTTGATACATATGTTTGACAGTTATGGTTATATAGTTAGTTTACCACAAAATATTAAACATTTATACCTTTATAAACACACTTTACTTTCATTTAACCATGACAAGAAATCTCAAACCATAATTTTGAGTGAAATTTTAATTTTTTAAAAACATATTGCCAGAGTTGTTTACCGCTAAGAACAGATTGAACATGATGGCGCTAGTTTAGGATTTTAGTTTGAACGTACATTTTTCTTAATAGAAAGAGAAAATGAACAATATGCTCAAACTATTATTCGACTTTGAAGTCGATCACGATGCTTTACACCTAGAGATCATTGACCTGAAGTACGTTCACTTTGAGGAGCTTAGTTCAGTCATCTGAAATCCAGCGGAAATACTCTTTAGTTTTAGCACTAAAAGTTTTCAAGGTGATTTCAAATAAAAGACGACTTTTAAAAAAGTTTTAGTATTTTCTCATTTTTGGGACAAAGAACAACCTGAAGAGATTCCAGAGCTGCCTTTTCATCCAGAAAAAACAACGGTTTGATATGGCCGGTGGAATCATCGGTACATATGTCTTCAAAAATGATACCAGCGAGAACGTAAGTGTAAACTTCAAAAAATAAATGCCAAAGAATGTTCTTTTGAACAATGATAAACATTCCTCATTCAATTTGAATTTTGTATAACTTAATAGTTCCGGTAACCTCCACAGACCATTTAATTTATTGATATTATATCGTTTCTTTAAAGCTGAACACCAAACCAGTGCTTCATAAGTTGGAATTGATCTAATGACTACCGTATACATCCACAAAGAGGTTACAACTGGGCAAAAGTGCACCAGCAGAATCTCTTCGATGGTGAGCATTGAATCTTCCAGCAAAATGCTGCTCTAGCTTACAAGTCAAAAACAATCAGCAGTGGCTTAAAAGGAATATTTCTGGTTACATAGCTGCATATGATTGGCCGCCTGGATTTGGATCCATTGGACAACAGTTAGTAGACAGAGTTGTATAACATGGCCTATCAAATACCCCACAGAAATTTTGAGAGTTTCAAAAAATATTTGGTTCGAGTGGTGTTGAAATAGAAGCTGAGTATGCTGCTGGAACATCGCTACCTTAATATATATACATTAATTAATAAAACAGGTTTTATTAAAAAAGTTATTCTAATTTAATTTTTGTAACGGCCTGAATTTGTAACAGAACTTATGGCAGGAAACTCGAAACCCAGTTAGATTGCACAATTCTTTGAAGTCAACTTCATGGGAGTAGATGAAACCACTCACTCCGATACTAAAAAAGACGAAATGATCCAAATCAGGAGATGTAAGAAGTTAAAGTAACTTTGTAGTTCAAAAAGTTTGATATAAATTAATTTCTTTTGACCCTACATACCAGCTCCGAGCTCCACAAAAAAAAAAACGAAGAAATACAATTTTAACTTTAGCAATATTGTGTCAAAGCAGATTTACAACGTGCCAGCAATAAACTCATTTACCACAGTGCTTAACCACCTCGATAAAATTTGTACTGTACTTGTGAGATCTCGGTATTTAAGTCACTGAATGATTGGCTAACACAGCAACAACCATTGTTCAGCACTTCAAAACATACTCCACATAGTATGCCTGCATTAAATGGGGAATGAAGAAAAGGCTAGAGCACTTTTGTGAGAGCACAGGAGGTTATTAATTATAACCTTAGTCACCACTGAGTTGTGGAGCACCTGTCATCACCGCTGTTGTTTGTATGTATCGTCAATGCGTTGTCGACTACCTTCTATCTTCTGGGAGACTACTACATTCTTGTCTGATTTTATTCCGGTTGCGGCAATAACCATTTGCAGTGCAGCTTCTCTGCTTCTACGTTGGCCAAGTCGTTTAGCTTACCAATTATTTGCCCACTATGTACTATTCGAGACGGTCTGTTGGTTTTCCAACTAGTCAGTAGTAATGCTTTGCAATTATACTCGAGCAATTTTCATAATTTCTTTTTGTATACAGCCTGAAGAACGGCAGATGGGTAGAAGACATGTAAAAACTTGTTGGTGTTTTTACAAAAAAACCCTGCGGTGAGTAAACTCCCTCACTACAAAATGAAAATAAGATACCTTTCATGCCTCCTGCTGTAATCAACACTGAAGCTTATGTATGCAGTTTGCTTGGTATTGAGCTATACTGAGCCTAATCATTTTAATTAGGTGGAGTAAGTTATGCAAATTGTCAGATCGTGAAGAATAAACTAATTGTTCCACAGTTCATTTATTTTATAACAAAATTAACTTTTGTCAACACGCTAAGAGTACCAAGTTAAACTTTGCAAAACATATCGTACAATAGAAAATTAAATCTATGCATCATATTACATCTAATGAAACATCTGGAGAGTATCTGCGACGATTTTCGACCTCTCAGTTCTTCTTCTATAGTAGGTTTAATATACGATTCTTAAAATGCTATAGTAGCTTTTTGAGCGGAAAGAACTCATGATAGACTTATTCCTTGATACAGAAAAAACCCTCCGCAACATTTAAAAAATAATAATTTCAAAGGGGAACTTGCTGTAAGCTACTGTGAGCTTTTCTTATTAATCATACTCCAGTCGGCAACTCACTCAAAGAAGGTATCGTCGGTTTTCTCTGAAAGAGAAAGGAGTTTTGAAATCATTGAAATCTCAAGCATTGCGATTTCAGTATGCATTTTCTCAAAATATTTTATTCATATAATTTCGTTTTCATGTTATTCCAAAAATTTTCACTTTCGATTTCTCTCATCGAAATACTCTTCCTCTTCATTATCATCAATATCCTTGTCCTCTTCGCTTAAATGTATCTCATGATCCGGCAAAGCTGCGAGCATACGTATATCCAAGCAACGACTAACCGGCTGCTGCAGCAGGTCCAGTTGGTCCTATTGGTCCCGTTGGACCAGTTGGTCCGGCAGGTCCACGTTCACCAGGGAAACCACGTCTGCCGCGACGACCAGGTGGTCCAATCGGACCGGGAATACCTGGTCTACCGGGCAAGCCACGTTGTCCAGTTGGTCCCTGCGGTCCCACCGGTCCCGGAGAGCCTTCGTCTCCCTTGTCACCACGATTACCTTGCAATCCCGCCTGCCCTGGTGGTCCGATTGGACCCGGCGGTCCAGGTGAACAAATGCATTGAGTTTGAGGATACACTATTGGCTGTTGGCGACCACCAAGAAGCGCGCGTTGCTCAGTTAGATTGTCTGATGAGCTTAAACGTCGTTTACCCGTAGTGGTGGGTAGAGCGATGGCGAACAGAAGAATAAAAGCTAAAGACCAGAGCATAAAGTTTCAAAATCAAAGAATATTAAAAAAAAAGTATTAAATTTCGCTTACCGCTAAGTGCAAAAGTTGTGATATGCATTGTTGTCCAAAATTAAACTGAGTTAAAGTGTGGTATCCACAAGTTTATATAGAAGGGCTGAACTTAGCGCTTGGAGGGCGATAAAAAAACAAATCTTACAAGAATATTAAGTTCTGCAAATCCCATTAGTAGCTCAGCTAATAAATCACGCACATTTGCATTTTATCATAACGGAATTTTTACGAGGCACAGACCGCTAGTTATACCAATTTATTGATTAGTATGTGTGGTATTTTAACCCGTAAAGTCAGCGGAGCAGTAACCCCATAAAACTCGCATATAAATCAGTAAAACTTCTAAATATATAAAATAAGCATTCATGCACAGTTACAGCGTTAAACGCGGATTTGCTATGAGAGTGTCAATACTGTTCGTCTGTTTTGGTATTATATACTTATAATTAGTTTTAATAAATAGCATTAATCCATTTATTTAATTATCTTTCGCAGGATTCATCGCTTTGGCTACTGCCAATTTCGTTACACAAGTCGGTCCACCTGGCCCGCCAGGACCGCCGGGCTTACCTGGTCCACCAGGACCAAAAGGTGAAAAGGGCGAACGTGGCTCGGAAGGACGTGCTGGTTTGGTCGGACCGCAAGGCGCGTCTGGACGACGTGGTCACACTGGCAGCCCAGGTGTGGTAGGACCACCAGGAGCACCAGGTTTACGTGGCCCACGCGGTTATGACGGTGAACGTGGTCCTGACGGCCCAACCGGACCAACGGGACCAACAGGTCCAACTGGAACATAAATAAATCAATTATTTTTGGTATTTTATTGGACTTAGAACTAAAACGTTACTTATGAAATAAAATTTGTGAAAATAAATGTAAAGCATATCAGCAAATGATTGTATTTTCGATTACTTATAAGAAATTTTATTACAGTAATGGATTTCAAAAGTTATCTTTAGATTTGGGCAGCAAAGTCATTGTACAATACGTTTGGAAAATTTAAATTAGCTTCGTCAAGCGTTAAGAAAAATCTTTATGGTGAACCATGCTATTAATATATAGTCGCCCAAACTTACTATCTTATTACAATTCAAGAATTCATTCCGAAATACAGAATGATGACATAGAGGGCCGTTATTTAATCGAATTAAAAAGCTAACGGTTTATTATTAATCTATGTGAGAATCGTTCACCCAACGTCATATACAGATATTGTGTCAGAATTGGTTTTGTTGGATCGGAGTTGGATTTTGTTGACTAACCCAGCACTCAGTACTTAATAATCTCTGAATTCGATGGATTTCATAGGAGTGGGACGTAAACTAAACGCATACTCATCGTGGTCCCCTGTTAGACATTTTCGAACGGTTCTTCGGAAACTCGAAAAACATAACGTCATTGAGAAAATCAGTAGATATAACATAAAATTTCGAATAAATTGCCGTAGCGATGGTGTCTTGAATCTAGCATATAAAATAAATACTTATATGAATGTGAAAAGATTATAAACATTGGCTTAGTACTAAAATGTATTTCTACCTTTCTGTTCTCGTTTGTTCAGAATAAAGTTCATTCAAAATGGAATTCATGCCCTGAAAGGTCTGATATATTCAAGAATTGTGTAGCAAAAGTTTCGACATAAACTTTCTTCGCAGTAAGAGTGTTTAAACTCCATTAAATCATTTTCTAAAACAATACAACCTCGGAGTTTCTGACGAACAAGAGCTTTTCTAAACTATCAATTAATCGTTATTAAAAGACTTTCAAGGAGTAACAGCTTTTTAATGAAAGAGAACACCACAGCCCTGGTCACAATTCTTAGGAAAAGACGTATAGAAGAGCATAATGGGAAACAGTTATTGATTTTGGAGGAGGAATCCTTTTGTTCTCTTTTATTGAATTTAAGTGGATAACTTTATTGTTGCTTATGGATGTAAAATTTTGCACAAGAAATCATGTAGATATATTAAAATAGTTTTATAATGCTTTATAGCACATTTTAGCAACAAAACTAAATCGCTGAAATTTGATCTTTACACCAGAGGTTACTGAGGATCACACAACACCTTTACAAATACACAGATTACTGCCAATACTCAAAGAGTAAAGAACGCATTTCACCAAACAAGTGATCAATGAATTTAATTGCTTTTATATGACAGTGTTTTGGTTTGATTACCGCTGATGCTGTTGTCGAGTGAAACAGGTGAAAGACATTGTTAACGCTCGTAAATTGTGGCTTTGCTCCAATTAATTTGTACCAAGTTGTAGTCTCTTTTACGATTGCGATGATAAGCGCTAGACTTCGCTCATAAAATCAGTAGACTCTATACACGCGCACACACACTGCGAGCTGGCCAGACGATTGTCATGTGATCAGTTTGCTTATGGCAATTTGATTGCCTTCTCGATTTCCGCTCTGCAGCGTCAGTAACAACCGCTCTTGTAGTTGTAATAAAAATTCGGTACTTAAAGGTCTTTTTGTGCTATAAAATTAGACCAGGTGACTTTTAATGAGGCACTATAAAGGTAGCTAGAGTTCTAGAGCGAGTGTGTGTGTGGGTTTGCGCGCAAAGTGTTGGCTTGACCAGATCATCAAATCTAGTTTATGCCTTTAAGGTGTTTATATACATACCTGTATAAATATATATATATATATAAATATATATATTGTATGGTGTGCTTGTGCTTTTCAATAAGACATCAAACTCTTCCTGTCACATACAATGTATGTATATATGTTGACAAAGTGTGGCAACAACAGTTTGTGATATCGAAACTCGAATTGCCGTTATTGATGACTCGCCGGGATAGAGACCGACCGCAAGCGAGCTGATAAAGTGAAAAAGCACGTGAGTCATAAAAAAATTTACACCACATTGCAGAGAAATTTTCTCCAGAATGTTGAACTCTCATACAAAGTTCTCCATAAATAAACTTACATGCAATTTAAGGAGCCAACGATTAATATTCAATTATTTTTAAGGACTCACTACCTGAGGAAACCTTAATATTAATTGACCATCAATGAAATCTGATACTTTTCGATCTGGTATATATACAATTTTTTTAATATTCGAATATTGCAAATAAAATAGCAATTAATTATATGTATATAAACAAGATAAAACGTTACCTTCGGTTGCACCGAATACCCTTCACAAATGCAAAAGGGTCCTTAAAGAATTCGATTTAGAACGGTCAGTTTATATGAAAGCTATACGCTATAGTGCTCTGATCTAAAAAAAAAATTCGGAAATTATGCTGTTGACTGGGAAAATAATCCATGCCAAATTTTGTGAGATATTTTGTCAAATAAAAAACAGCATAAGTTGGTTATTCATATTGTATAGCAGCTATATGCTGTAGTGGGCATATATCGACGTTGCCGACAAATGACCAGCTTCTTGGTGCGAAGAGAACGTGTGCCAAATTTCAGATCGAAATCTCAAAAACTTTGTCTAAGAAAAAGTTCATATAAAGCACGACGAGTGAAATTTCAATGCGGGCTGGATAGTGATTTGACGGACCAGAGTTCTTTCTGAAGTCAGCGGTTTGTTTCTAAGTCTCTATCTGCAATTTCTGAGAACAATGAACCAAACCGGTGTTCGCTAATTATTGCATCTATATGAATGCGCAAGACATTGAAGATTTTCTATAATCGTCTTGTAATTATCCCAGCTGACTTCATTTAAGTTAACAGATATAAGATTTCCCATGGGTAGCTCAAGTGGATGTATGTTATTACTGAACTAACTACTGAGTGCTAGCTGGTTATGCTTTATATTACAGTTATGCTGTATAACTACTTCGTTATTCGTTATACAGAATCATATATATCTTCTGTTTTTAATATTTCCTGTTTGTTCGCATCCCCCTCGTTACTCGAAACGTGTTCGAACTTCCACCGTAGATATGAATGAACTATTATACTTTTCTAATTACAATAATAACTGCACAGTTGTTTTAACAACTTATCGCACAATCAACTTATTTCGCAAGGAAACAAACAATAAGTTTGGATAATCTGATATTAAAAATGCAATTACAAACATTGTTGCATATTGTTGTTTCTTTAAAATGTCCTTACATTCTTTAAAATCATTTTAAACTTATGGCGAAAATCTAATTTGAATTTTCCTAAGTGTAATGCTTTTGAAATTTCTCCATCTGCTTGCGACTAATGTCCTTCAACTACACTAATTTCCCTTATTTCCACTTTAACGCCACTTCGAAACAGTTCAAATTTCTACCTCATTAAGAAATGCGTTCAAACTCGGACAGCCAACACGAGACCCGTATGTATTTACTTAGTGTTCGTTTGTAGCATTTGTGCCAAGGAGGCTAAGCTAAGCGAGTCGAGCGGAGATTTCTCCCTGATAAATACAACAAGAACAGATGAAATGAAAAAGGTAATAAAGAATTGAATAGCTGAAACAGCAACAACAACAAATGCAGGAATCAGAAACTTTGCATAATTAAAAATTGTTTGCTGTTTTTTACGATTGGCAGCCAAGTTAGCGTTTTGGTTTAACTGTGTAGCTCAATAAAATCCACAAAATGCGCTTGTTTTGTTTCGAATCAAAAAATAAGTTTACCAATGGACAAAATAGTTATAGAAAGCAAAGCAGCGCATTAATGTAAATAGCATGACCATAACCATTGCTAAGTATACACTGGATGACAGATGAATGAGACAAACGTTCTTCAGACACCAAATACAAAAAACTTTTCGAAAAATTTTTCGTTCCATCACTTTGCTCAGCTGGTGAAATATAGTAACTGTGTAAACATGAAATTGACAGTCGAGCGAATATGAATATGCAAAAGTAATATATAGATTTTTACTCTGATATACCAGCATATAGAGTTTACATATTTTCATCCTGAGCAAAAAATATTTCCGAAAGTGCACTGACTTCAAATATTTTACTGTCCTACCAACATCAATTGGAGTAATGATAAATATGTAAGTAGAATGAGCCAAGCAATGAAGTCGGAACGAATTTGGTAGGTTAAGTTAAGTTGGGTTGTAGGGTTGATCGTAAACAATGGATTTCAGTTGGATAGATGTTGTCTTTTGTGTTAAATACTAAGCAATAAACTCTCTAATGTAGATCACCAGATCCTCATAAATTGACTGCGCGTTTTGAGTTTACCACACATTTGTTAAGGCAGTTAACTTGGCTGGGTACGCCGAAAGGTGTGTATACCGATCTATTAAGATGATTCCACCTCACCTTCCTTCATACAGTTCTGGCAAAGGGCGTCTAACAAAATATTTAGCAGTGTGAATATAATGCAGTCAGAATACCTACATTTGCGGCGAGATTGATTTTGCTAATAGCAATTAGTTTGGAGGACCTCTTACGGTTCGCTCTACACTAGAAGGATCCCACAGTCCCACAGGTACTGATTGTTGACCAGCTTGCCGCGCTCACTGAAGTTCCTTAGGTTCAGCGCTATAATGCAAGAAGACATCCGAAACCGACGCGCTTCCCATTGGATAAAATTAGCCTAAGGCTGCCCGGCTTAGCAAACTAATCTGCCTTGCTCTTTCCGACGATTCCGCTGTGACCGGGTTCGCATACAAATGTAATTTGGAAAAAGTTTGTTCCTATAGCTAACGAGGTCATGCACTCGGCTATCGGAATGAATGCAAAACTTCCTGAAGGATTTCTGGTTTACAGTTTAACCTTGGAGAGAGCTTTAGACATGAAGGAATATTAAAAACTTGTTTTTTATTTAGTTTTTCGGATAACATCTAGAAGACCGATACAAGAACAAAGATATGTTCGGTTAAACACCTAGTGCGGATATATGTATCAAGAACAGACACTTGACGCGGAGTGTAAGAACAAAAGTGGTCATACGTACCACTCTATCCGC